TATATCATTGGCTTGGTAAGTTTCCAAAGGACTTTATTTTGAATGGGAAAGAATTGATATCTAAATTTTAATTACTAATCGAGTGTGAGAAATCATTCTCCTTTGTTAAACGAAGATTAAATGACAAGTTGTAATCCTTAGTAATTTGGAAAATTACGAAGAGTATTGATTGTTTTGTTTTTTCTCTCCACTTTCACAGGACACACTCAAGTGAAATTAAATGTTGGGAACATCATTATATCCTGGTTTGAAGTGCGTTGTGTGATTAATTAATAGAAAAGAATCAAAATTTAAGTGTTAACAAATAAATTAAATTTTATTGGTTTCAATTTAAAAATGGTGAAAGATAGTGAGAATAAAACGTTAATAATGGTTTTGTAAATTTATTTATTCACATATATATAATCGTCGTTTTATTTAAATAAAGGACGTGTAAAAAAACGTAAAACCCAACTGTTGAAATTTCAATATTACTAATATTACTAGAATTAATTTAATTTAGAATTAATGATGTAATCTGGCAATTTATTGTAAGAAAGGATTAGAAAGTTATTTCAACTTTCTTGGAAGAGGAGGGACAATTCGAACAACAACGTCGAATTCCAAAGAAATAATCGGAAACAATAGGCCATTTTATGCTACTGATATATTTTTGCCCTTTTAAAATACAGACATATTTATTCCTAACTTTAACCTTAACATTACTTAAAGTTCAGAACAATAAAAAAACGTGTCATTTATGTTATGAAATAATCAAATTAAGAGAATAGCAAAAAGAAAATCAATATGTCAATCACTAGTTAAGACCATAATGCATCAGCCAAAGTTCAAATTTTCTTGTATACTTTAATATACGAATAGTGATACTTCAATTTTGCATTCTAATAAAACTAACCTTAATTAACCCTTATAATTTCCTCTATGATTATTTCTTGTAATATAAGTATAAATGAATATTTATTTAAAAAGTCGACAGATTATTTTAATACAAACATTTGTTTTATTAAAATTCAGAATTTTTAAGCAAAAGTTTCTTACTTTCAACATTTTAAAATTCTAATTCACACTTTATATACATAGGAAAATATTATGAGTCTAGACAGGCATATAGTACAGCATATATACAAAACAAGGTTTTTAATATTGTTAAGACAATGCATCAAAACATCAACATGTTATAGAAATTTTTTTAACAGAAGTTCTCAGACTTTTACAGTCTTAACAATTCATTGAGCATCAGCATCAATTTAAAATATAATCAGTCTCAGCTTCAATTTGATAAAGAGTATCTTACAATTCTTTTCAGTGTATGAAATGTATAAAAACAAGCCTCAAAATCAGATCTATAAGGTGGATTGGACGAAACTTCCGCCTAGAAATATTTTCCCCATTCGTAACAGATTACGGAATATATTTCTTCTTTATATCACATTTCCATTGCAAATCCACCAATCATGACTGCAAGCTAATAGCGGAGAGTTTACTTTTCCTCTTTTCTTTTTTAATATTTTTGCATTGTATCATTGCACTCAAGTCAACTGAGAAATGAAAACCTATTATTTTTATAGAATAATTGTCACCAGTTAATCAAAAAACACTTTTATAATTTTTGTAATAAATTTACATCATTAAAATGCTCCCTTTTAAACTATGTTTGTCTTTTTTTCCATTCTACTTTGAACACCGTTTTAAAGACATAATGCAACTATATTATAAAAAATATTATTTACACTAACATGCATAGTATTTTTATTTAACAGCATGTTTTACAAACACAAATTTTAAGTTGAAGCATGCCAGATACTAACAAACTCATTAAATTTTCTGCATGCAATCCAGATAATCAGAGATAATCATATCAGTTTCTTAATACAACATGTCTGGCTCATTTCAATATTTAATTGAGCATCAATTTCTGAGAAGGGTTTGATGATTTAACTTTGACATTACACCAGTTGGAAAATGTCATGCGGAGAATAAACCCACTGTATTGAGATTAAGCTAGGATATTTCATTTCTCTTTTATTCTGCAATTTATAATCTGGCTATAATTTGAAAATATATTTTCTTATTGTTAAAATGGTTTTATATAAATTCAAATTTCTTAAAACATCATCAAAATGTATATAGAATATTGATAAGCAAGTGTATACATAATTACACATAAATACTTTAAATGTGTACATAATTTTTTCTTTTCAGAAAAGACTCGTATTTAAAAAGAGAAAGCTAATAAATTAAATAAAATGCAGTTTTAAAAGACATCATAATATTTTAACTTGATGATTCAGAAGTAAGAAGTAGTCAGTAAGTTATAAAATTACCTTAAAAGTTCATATGGATACAAAAAATTTCATTTGAAATATTATATCAAAGTGTACCTAAAAATTCTTAACAATAAATAACCAAATGGCCCTCTATCGTTTAAATTAAAATAAATATTTACCACTTGTTGTTATATATTATATTAATAAATATTTACCACTAGTTTGTTATATAGTCTATATTAAGTATTAGAAATATATTTCACAACTTTGTTTAATTAATGTACAATATAAAAATTTAAAAAATAACTTAATAAAAAATGCTAACACGCCAATAAATTATATTCTGAATTTAATATTGTAATTGTTCAACAAATTATTAAAAATCATTCAACAGCATAGCTCTCAAATCGACGAGTCATGATATATAGAAAACTTACACTATACACTATTTCAAAAACTATAATATTTTGTTCTGTTTTAAATCTAAATAACATAATTTACGTTTAACTAATCATTATTTACCCTTGTTGTTTCCTCTTTTCTAACCATATATTTTTCACATCTACAGTACATAAATATTTAAATTTGTGTATTTATCTACTGTAGATGTGAAGGTTCTGGTGGAGATAGAAATAGGTTTCTAAACTTTGTTTAATAAATATGCAGCATAAGCATTTAGAAAATAACACTTAATAAAAAATGCTGATTATATATTATATATTATAAAAAAATATTTTCGATTTAATATTGATGTTGAAAGTGTTACTTAAAATCTAGTCAATAAATTATTAAAAATCTTTCAACAGCATAGTTATCAAAGAGATTATAAATCGTTCTATACACTATTTAAAAAACTATAACATTTTGCTCTGTTTTAAATTTAAATAACGTAACTTACATTTAACTAATCATTATTTACCCTTGTTGTTTACTCTTTTCTAACCATATATTCTTCACATCTACAGCAAATACATATTTCGATTTGTGTAACAAAATTATAAAGGACTAGCACAACTTTAAATCATTGTCACAATCTGCATTAAAATTCTTTCAAAGACAGTGTAAATAAACCAGTGTTGGTTTCATTATTTAACATCTGAGGAGAAAAGAATATCAGACTGATAAATGGATTTCATGTTACTAGGCATAATAGAATTTAAAAGCAATGGGTAATGCACATAATAAAAGACCTTATATTTCTATAAATAGCAGAAATGATGGACGATTCCATTACGACACATTTCTCTATTATAAAATTGCATTTATGACTAATTTATATTGAATTACATTACGTAACAATAAAATTTAATAAGTATAAGCTTATTTTCTAGAGAATTGTCTAATGTAATAAGAGAAAGGGGAATGACTCCGTTCAACGGAAACACCTAAATAAAGACACGCCTCACCATAGAATTATATGTAGTTATTCTGACGACGCCTACTAACGTCCAAGGGGAAATTAACTCATTGTACAAACCTTTTGCAAAAGGTTATACACCTGGTATTTCAGAACGTATTCAATCAATTAAACTATGGTAAAATTTTGAGATTATTACGAAGTTAAGTTACTTGTTCAAATATTTCTAATACATAAATTTAATGTATTTCACGCTAGAAATCATGAAATAATAGTTCAGTTTTCAGCACTTTTGAATGATAATCTTTTAATTTCTGGGATATTCTTTTCATTGAATTTCTAGCTTCAAAATCTGCTTTTAGTGAGGGAAGGCTTATTATACTAGATGTTATATAATTTCTTAAATGTTTATAAAAAAAAAATAGCCTAAAACAAATTTATTAAAATGTATTTTTTAATTTTTTTTTAATTCTTAAACATACAGATCGAATTGTAATAGACGGAATGAACATTTGTCATTGTTTCCTCGTTGCTTGAAACTATCCGCTATCTTCGCATAGTAATAATGTATTTTGTTCATGAATATTCTGATATTTACTTTATTTACGATCAGTGTAATGACAATTCATTACGAACTGCTAGAAATTATGCCTTTCGCTGTCTATTACGCCCTCATTCCAACAATAGTGTCATCTGCAGGTTGGAAGAGGGATTGAGAAATACAGGAATCCTTCATTCAACACACAATTGTTTTGATGTTGGGGAAAGCAGTTAAAACAGGCTTACTTCCGCACAGAAAGAAGCAATACTGTCACTGGTAAGAGTTGAGTGCATGTACACTAACCAGGTAGTTCGATATGAGTAACAGTACTATGAGCATGTTAGTAACTCAGTAAATTCAGTTTTACTCTGGATGCATTTCAAGGGAATATTAGACTACATACACATTTTTCCACCACAATTTGGAGCGAATAATTCAAAAATGGAATCTGTAGGCTTGCAAACTCGACCCCGCTGCTTTTAGATTTAAAGAAATGATTTATTGTGACAGGCATAAACAATAAAGATTTCTGTTTGGCATTCCTTGTTGGGTTTCGAACCATATTCTTTTAGTTTAGAAGTTCAATGTAATATCCACGAGGTTAAAAATTCAATCATAAAGTAAAGAAGGGCGGAAATAAAAAGCCTTTAAGTAAGTTTGAATAGAAATGTAAAAAGGATACTTAAAGTAAACGTAACGCTAATTTTTTAATCAAAACACATAGAATGAGTATGAAAGAAAGACAAAGAGTTATTCCATTCATTCACGGATTCAAAATTTGATCAAAGGTCTTCTGGGAATATATCTTGAAAGTGGGAATATATCAGAAAGGGATAACGGCCGTACCATGCTGAATATAGCGGTTCTCGTTAGATCACCGAAGTCAAGCATCATTGGGCGCGGTCAGTACTTGGGTGGGTGACCACCTGGGAACACTGCGTGCCGTTGGCAAATTTGAGACCTGAATGGCCGAGTGTCTAGCGCTCTGGCGCTCGGTGCCACAGGTTTCGGGTTCGAATCCCGGCGGTGCCATGGATGTTTGTAGTGATTCGGAATCCACTTTAAGCCGTAGGTCCCGGTCTTCTATGACTGTAAGAGCGTCACGGAGCAAAAGTCAGGCTTCTACCTACGGGTGCTCCATCACAACAGAAGCTGCTTCCTTCCCCTTCAATCATGAGTCCATATGGGCTCGTGGGCTTGGCCAGCCAAGTGGGATTAGAAACAACAAACAACAACAGGGATAATATATCTTGAAAGTTGGTATACATCAGAAAGTTGTAATATAGCTTGTAATACATGTTGTTTCAACTTTATACATCTTTCCAAATATTTGCTTTGGTATACCCTTTTTCTGACTCTAAAATTAAAAGAAATGTTTTAAACGAATGGTAAGAGAAATGATAATTCAGTCAATTCAACTTACTTACAAGCGTTAAAATTACATAGAAGGAAAACACAAAAATGTTTTCAAACAAAATTGGAAGCAGGAACAAAATACATTTAATAAGAAGAGTTGCCTGAAAAAATACTCCGTGAAGAAGATAACTATCTCTGATGAAAGGATAAAGTAAAGTCCTTTTCTCTTGCACCTGTCCATCAAATTCTATGATATAAGGGGTTTAAAGGGATAAATACGTGAACTAGAAGTGCCCTTCTGTATTAAATACCCAGGCTGAGATCAATTTACAAAGGCTATGGAATTTAGTTTTCAGAAATTGAATGGTCCAGGAAAAGGTTAATTTTTTTCTTTAGGGTCAAGAACAGTGAAATTATTTGTAAGCTTTAAATAGACTAAAATTAATGCAAAACTATATATATATATACATATATTTATATATGTTATAAAAAATTATATAAGTTTAATGACTAATTTGATTTGAAAGAAATTGTAAAACTATCTGAGGCATAAATTATATAATTATGATGATACAAGCAGACAATCAAGTGTATACTGAGGAACAAAGAAATCTAGAACTACTACGAAAAAAAAACCTTGTCTTTTCTGAGAATGACATGATAAATCTGATGCCAGGAAAGCCTACTCAAGTACAGAGTGCGAGCGCCCTGATGAACGCCCCTGAAGTACTTAATCCAAATTGAGTTAGCACAAGAATGAAGTGCGAGTACACCGTTGTGCACCTGAGTAACGCTTGTATTTTTCCAGTGGTGAATGAAATCTGGTCGAAGTGACTGGAATTTCAAAGCAGTGATTACTATGAAAATAAATAATTTTATATTAACTTTTTGTATTAGTATTAAATAAAAATTTTAATTTCTGAAACAAGCACTTTATAAAACCCAAAACTAGTTTATTGATGTATATCCTTTTTAAAAGATAGATTGAACTTCTAACTAAGTGGTTTTAAAATACGTGAAGTAAAAATTTGTTTTATGATTCATGTAACTTCATAAAGACTTTTATTAGAAACAGTGATATGTATATTTAAAGCTTAGAAAAAAGATTCAGTAAAATCATATATGATTTTAAGGAAATAGTTTAATTTCTATAAAGTGACATTTAATGAACTGCTAGTTAAAAACGTGGCATTCCTAATGTTATTCTACGTGCCCTTTTTCAATATACTTAGTCCAATATGCAGAAAATGTTTTAAACAGACGAGAAATGTAATTATATGAGTGAATTTGAAGCTTGGTAGCCTTCCATATTTTTCTAATAATTTCTAAGGTTATCGCTCCGTTAATGCACATTTCAAAATGAAACTTATTATTAAAATAAATATTAAAAGAGCTTCTGGTGTGAAAGGAAATGCAAATTTTAAAAGATTTTATTCACTTTTGGGAAATAGATAAACCTTTTCGCAATATTCTATTTAGATTTTTACTTGAAGAAATATTTAAAAAAATGGTATTATTTTGAAGCGATTTAAAACGCCTTATCACTTTTGAAATTTTTTCTGCTGAAACTAAAGAAATATTCTCCTAATTAAATGAATATATGTGGAGTGTTCATACGCTTTTTAAAGTTTAATAATAATTCATGAACTGATGGAAAAAGAAATCCAAACACCAGAAGAAATTAGTTTAAAGAAATGAAAGTTAGGTAAAGCATTTGTCTAGGTAACATGTTTATTTGATTAAAGTTATAAGGTCATAGGTTAAAGTATTCATGAAAAATTGTGTATATTAAATGTATAAATATCAGAAATATAGGATATGTACATTTGAAATTTGAAATCGTGGTACATTAATAATCATTGTAATCTTTATGATTTAAATTCAAGCTTGCAAACACGCATGCATTGTTCCGTACAAGTGCTGTATGCTATTTTGTGAGACAAAGTGCAATGGCTTAATCAATCAAATCAGCAACGGTCCGTACCGGAGTAATAGAGTAATAAGGTGGATATTCCTTTCTCAATATTGCAGAAAGAATTGACAAGGATGTATCCACTGTGTATGATTTTTTGGCAGCAGTGATTAGGGGAAGGTACTGTCTGAAGAAGATTTGGTTCCTGCCGCTCACGGGCCACTATTGTGAGGGACGCCCGCTGTATTGCTCACAGCAGTATTTTATTGTACCTGCAGCAGAAATTCGAGCTTCTCTTGGGACCAAATTGACACAGCGAATTATAACAAATCGATTATTTGACAACTTCGAGGCAGATTCTCTGTAGCGTTCAGGTCAATAACTCCAAACTACCACCATCTACGAATTTATTGGTGTCAACCTAGAGTTTATTTAAGAGTAGAGTTGAGATATGTTGTGTTCTCAGATGAGCGTCAATTCAATATTGGCGTCAATGATGGATATATGTTGGTTAGAAAATAGCAAGGTGAGCACATGTAGCAAATCTAAATCGCAGACTCATTGCCCCTACAACAAGAGTTATTAGGGACCTGAATGGCCGAGTGTCTAGCGCTCTGGCGCTCGGTGTCACAGGTTTCGGGTTCGAATCCCGGCGGTGCCATGGATGTTTGTAGTGGTTCGGAATCCACTTTAAGCCGTAGGTCCCGGTCTCCTATGACTGTCAGAGCGTCACGGAGCAAAAGTCAGGCTTCTACCTACGGGGTGCTCCATCACAACAGAAGCTGCTTCCCTCCCCTTCAATCATGAGTCCATATGGGCTCGTGGGCTTGGCCCGCCAAGTGGGATAAGAAACAACAACAACAACAACAAGAGTTATTGTTTGGAGAATAATTTCCTGTGACGTCAGGAGAATGTTATCCCCTAAACCATGACAAAAAAATTGTACATCAAACTAGTGATTAATTAATTCAAATGTTCTGTCCTTTTTGATCACTATTGGTCGGGTTTTTTCCCAACAGGATAAGACTTGTCCCCTCAAAGCTGCTGTCACTCAACCTACTCTACAGAGTATCGACTGATTGACTTGGCCGGTCAGATCATCATATATGGAACATTATTGGATGACAAATCCAGCGTCATTCACAACCAGCACTGACCGTTGCTGATTTGACTGACCAAGTGCAACATTCAAACTGTATAGGGGCAACTCAATGAAGTTTAAACTCACCATATCACATCACTGTGCCTCAGCTCTAGGCACAGTGATATGATATGGTGTGTAGTAATAGTAGTAGACCAAGTGCAACAGGAGAAATCCATCCTCCAAGTGAACTCCATCCCACAAAAGGACATACGACACCTTCACTACGCAAAGCATTCCCGTTTGCATTCAAAATCGAGGATATTACAGAGAATTATTAAGGCAACATCATTTTACATTTGAGAAGGCTTTTCTCGTGCATTCATTAACCTGTGATCTTGAAGCTCTAATCAAATAAATATGCTTCTAAGACAAATGCTTTGTGTAAATTTCATTTCTTTAAACTAATTTCTTTTTGGCGTTGAGATTTCATTTTCCAGCAGTATATATAAATGAATTCGGATTTTATGTGACCACATAATTTGCCTTTATTTTTATAATAACTTATATTTAGTACTCTTTTGAGAATGCTAAAGTTCTAAATGAATAAATAGTTCTTTAGAAACTTTAAACTAAAATAACAGATCTGTGCTTTTAATTTATCTTCATAGACTCTCGATATGTAATTTTTGTCAATCAGTACACATCAGGACAAAACAAAATATATAGAAGAAATGATTAAGTTAAAATAAATAAGTATGTATATTATATTAGCATATAAATTAAAAGTATAATTTTAATGTAATTTTAAAAACTTTGAAGAAAAGAAAAAGAAAGAAAAATTGGATATTTGAAATGTTAATAGTCCGCCTCTTAATAAATGCCAAAAATTTCTTGTATACAATTAATGTATGAAAACAATGGACATTAATATATGAAAATAATGGATGTTGTCTTTGTAGCTTTCTGGTCATTTACCTCAAACTGAAATCCTTCAAAAAATGATATAAACAAATTAAAGTAATTGCGTAAAGTAATTACGCTGGTTAAAGTAATTGCGCTGGTTACTCTTAAGTAACCAAAAGAATTAGTCACAAACCAACAGGCAGTCATTGAGAACATGTAATACATAAAAAAAATTGGAAATGCTACAGAAAAAATGAAAATAAAACTAGCAGTAGAATTATGTTCAAATTTGCTGAGCAATAATATGGAGAGATTGTACTATCAAATGGAATGACTTTCCAAATCAAACTTCCATATTTTTGAAGCATATTATAAATTTCGATGATAGGAAGATTCATATGAGTAGTTTGGTTTTTTCTTGAAAAATCTACATTTTTGTAGGGGAATTCGAAACATTACTAGTGAGATAATATGACAAATAAACCTTTATTACATTTGTTGATTTATAATATGAATGAATTGATCACTTTCAATGTTGATTATACTCAGAAGTATATAAGTTGTCTATAATGTCGAATGGTGACTTTTATGTAATTGTTTCCATAGCACCTTCTTCGTCACAGCATTGTCAGTTACTTTTGTTAAAAATTGAATTGAATTTTTCCTAATCATTTACTTAGACTGCTTATACT